ACACACACACACACACATTCACGTTTATCTGAATGAGTAAGGCCAGTCGTTTTGTGGGATGATCTCATCGGGAGGATGATGTCAGACTGAGCTGCTGTAATTGTTTATATTTCACAGGCTGCGAGGGTCTGCAGAGCTGCAGAGTGCAGACGTAGTGGGGAAGAGTGAGCATTCACTGCAGGCCTTTAAGTGCTTACAAGGATATGAGTTTGATGAGTAGCGCCTTCTCTGCATACTTGTTTTGTTTTTGAGCATCAAAATCGTCTAAAAACATTTGTGCGCTCTGAGCCTTTATAGGACTGACTGTAAGAAGACATTAAGCAGGTCACCACCACCTGAAGGTAGAGATGGGTTTTTGGTTTTCATGTTCTGTAAAACCTCTGCTCCCTCCTGCTGTTTCCCCAGGAGCATTTCTCCTGCTCCTCTCCCTCCCTCCCCCCTCCCTCCCCCGTGGGTGTTCCCTGTCTGCGCCCCTCTTTTTTTGGCACTTCTTGTTGTTCCCCTGCTCGGGCCCTCCCTCTTATCTTTGTTCCCCCAGAATCACTGAAATAATCTGTTTGATGTTGGGGGGTGTCTCCTCCACCACTCCTTACGCCTCTCTGTGTCTCTCCCTCCCCCCCCCGATGAGCTCATTTCCAGGATGTGTGTGATGTCCAGCGTCACACGTTGGTTTACAGTCAGCACGGCGGCCGGTGAGGGGAGAAGAGGAGACAGCGGGACACGCCCTAATGTGACCTCATGCACATCGCTTTCTCTCCTGCTGCGCTGTGAGCTCTTTCATGTGCTGGTGGACGGCGTGGTGACATCATGTTGTTGTGTGGCTGCATCAGCAAAGGGTTTTCTCAGTATTCACTGTCCTGTCCTTAAGCCCTGTTCTTTTATTTTATTTTGCTGCTGTCAAGCCTTCCTTATTACTCTATATACTACTCTAGCTATTTAAAACAGCCGTCTTGTTATTGACATCGTCCGAATCAGCTATAATTTCAATTCAATTTTATTTATATAGCGCCAAATCACAACAACAGTCGCCTCAAGGCTCTATAACAAAAGCATTGCTAACAGGCATCCAGATCCACTACAGGGAGAAGTTTGAAAACAGCTTCAGTAGGAGTGGTGTTCCCCCGGGGCAAAACGCAGATGAGCTCCAAGCTCCAAACACATGATCACGCCAGCTTTGCAGCAGAACTACTGTGAGACCAAGAGCAATAACACTCTGCAAACAGTGTTTAACATCACGTTGGGACTCGCAGGCCTTTCCAGAGCGACTCAGTAATAACACAACGGTCACTGTCATCTTCAGTGGCAGTCTGTGGCTGCCGGGATCCAACAACAGAGCTTTGTCAAGATTCGTCTCAACAAAATGTATTAAAATATTCTAACGAAGCATCATTAATATCTAGCACATCTTTCACTTTGAATTTTTAATAGAGCAGCACACAACATCAGTCATGTTTTAATCATGATTCAAACGACACCAACAGACTAAAGCTCGACTGAAAGATCGGTCAGCTGAAGCACAGATGTACGTGAACATGCTGCAGTATTGCTCTGTGATTTTAGGCTGTGGTAGCTGCTAGGCAACATGATGGCATCATAATATATGTGTTAACAAAAGTCTGATATAAAGCTTATCATTATGATTAAATGATGCATTTTTGACATGATATTAATGAAAGGATGGTGTAGGTACATGAATGCAACAAATGGGTCATTTTAGCTGGTTTGTAGGTGGTTGCTAGGCAACATGAGTTCACGTATAAATTGTGAATATAAATTACTGATTCTGTTTGTTATGAAAATCATACTATGCTTTTATAAGGTGTTA